CAAAAAGAGAAATCCTACAAAAAGTAGGTTCATTCCAAAGACGAAGAACCGGGCCCGTATGCACAAAGCTACTAAAGGTAAGATCCAATCGTAATACTAATTTATCGTTGGACAAGTAGAAAAATCCGTCCGTTCGGAACAAATCTTAACTTAAGTTTCTTCTCCTACCAGATAACTGAATTACCTGTGTTCTTACAAGATGGTCTGGATTGGTGGGGGGTTACTGAGTATAGAATAATGAATGAAAAAAATAAAGAATAGAGAAAAATGAAAAATGAAAAAAAATAAAGAATAGAGAAAAATGAAAAAAAAAAAAAATAAAGAATAGAGAATAATGGAATGCTTAGATATTGAGAATAGAGATAGTTGACAATAGAGACGAATTTCCTAAAAAATTAAGGAATACAGAAAAAGGACCCTTATCCAGACCCACTTACAAACATCGTTATATAGATTACTCTACCCAAACCTATATTACAATTGCCAACAGTCATTCTAACAGCTAGTCATTCTAACAGCAAGCACAATTATTACAGTTACTGTAAAACTATTACGTACTCTAGAGGCGTTGTTAATTAGATGTGGATATAGAACTTTTAAAGATGTGTTAGAATACATAAGTGAATTATAAAACAGAAGTACAATCGTATAAATGTTTTGTGCTAAAGAATAATCACAACAAAATTTTAAATAATCAAACAAAGTATCTAACACTAACAACTGCATGTTGCTTGATATTTATATCGATCAGCATTTCTTATGGGAACCAAGTGTGGTTGTCTCCAAGCCGACTGGTTCGTTAATTCGTACGAGACTTTATTTAAGGTCATCTCAATGATAATGAAAACAAAATACATTTCAGTTTATCTTCCACTTTCCGCTAAATAAAAAATGCCAATACACCAAATAATTGAATGTTTGTTGCCGAGTACAACTGTTTGTTGCCGTGTACAAATGTTTGTTGCCGAGAACAAATGTTTGTTGCCGAGTACAAATGTTTGTTGCCGAGTACAACTGTTTGTTGCCGAGTACAAATGTTTGTTGCCGAGTACAACTGTTTGTTGCCGAGTACAACTGTTTGTTGCAGAGTACAAATGTTTGTTGCCGAGTACAACTGTTTGTTGCCGAGAACAAATGTTTGTTGCCGAGTACAAATGTTTGTTGAATGTTTCTTGGTTGTAAAACTGAGAACAAAAGAGAGCACATATACAGCTATGTCCGCTTCATACTAACTATAGAAATAAGGACTGTCTTTAAAAAAAGACGTCAAGTTACTAATTGTGATTTTTCCTCTTTATGACGCAACATTCCAGCAGCATATATTTATATGAAGAATAAATATTACCTCAGCACAAGATTTATACTAAGTATCTGCATTTTCTTGACAGAGAATTACTGCTTTCAAGGAATTTACTGAACTGTGAAATTGAGGTCATCTCTTTGAACGTTTGACAGACACCATTATGTTCTAGTTGACCGTTACGAAAAACATCTGTGAATATATATACAATATTCGTACAGTGTAGGACAATATATAATTGATTTGACGAGAGCTTTAGAAACAGAGAGAAAAGCGAGGCTCGGCGAGCTTTTGTCCTGTTTCGTAGCGCGTATAAATGAATTTTATATCAGAAGCAGGATAGCAGGAGACTATAAGCATCCAGTATACGTTTATCGGTTTATGTTACCTGCATGTCACCCTCCATTTGCATAGTAGAAAGGTCGATTTCAGGATAACTATAGAAAACATATCTGTTCTCCCCTGCCGTAGCACTGCCCATTCACGCTCATCTCGCTATCCCAGGAATTGTACATTTAGGTTTACGACAGTTGACAATAGTGGAGCAAGAACTGCTAATTCTCACAGGGTTATCCTAGTTCAAACTGATGTTTGGTGATGTTCTTTTGTGGGTTGCAATGAATAATGTTTTTACTTTTCTTTTATTTACTTTTGCATAACGTCGGATATTATTAGCTTACAATCTGTGCTATTTCTGGAAATAAGTAACTGTTTTCCGACGATTTTGTCGTCTAGATAGAAAACATAAAACAGTTAATTTCCCCCAAAATTGCACAGATTGTGAGCTTGAATTTTCTTCTTTTAGTTGCTCTTACTTAATTATTATTACTTTCTTTTCTAAATTTTTACTTGACTGGAGAACGGTGTAGTAGTTAAAACACTGACCAATGAAGGACAACTCTTGTGTTATTATAGGTACTCTCAGTCTTATAAAAAAATGTTATCTTCAGCTTTAGACTTTTCGTTGGATAATTCTTTAAATGAAAAAAAAATATCAGTGTAAAATATTGATTTCAGGATGTTCACTGACCTATGCTATGGCTTAAACACAAGCCATTTTATTAAAAGGAGGAGTGCACTGCAATTTAATAAATACAAGTAATTACTTTTATCCCAACCTTAACGTCTTTAAAATTTAATTAGGACACCCCTACTTAAAAAATTGAAAACGCTTGCAAGTCTGTGCTATCTGAAATCTTTTCCGGATTATATCACGTCATTAAAAGGTCGGGAAAACATGCATTTTGCATGTTTTTTTTTTTATTATATTTAAGGATTTTATGCCAAAGCATGTTTCAAGAAAAAGAACTTGGGTGCTCATAAAACTGGTTTAACCATACCTCATGTTATATGCCTGTCCCATGTAAAAATGAACTGCTAGTGTTTTTTTCTCGTATATGTCTGAAAGTAACATTTTAATCAGATACGTTTTGGTCTGCAATAAATAAAGATACGTTTGGTAAAAATTTAAGAACAAGCCATTAGGTTTTTTCACCACCTCTTGTTGTAGACTACACTGTCCCCCTAATTTGCAAACAAATTTCGATTTTGAAGGTCATTGTCTCGTGTACATAAATTATTTTCTTTATATCATGACATATTTTGAATCATTCACCCATATTTTTATTCAAAGTGAACGATTAAATCAAATTGAGTAAAATTGTCAAAAAATGTTCCTCCTGTTTTCCTTAAAAACAAACTTTCTGTGAATAGCTAACAAATTGAGAAGATTTGTTTTCTTCTTGAGTACATTTAGAATCATTCCATTGTTCACCCTAGACTTGGTCATCGTAGAATACAGATATATCCTTTCTGTGCAATGAACTTCTAGACCGTTCGCTTGTCGCAGTTGGTGCTTGCACCACAAGGACGAGATGCAAAACATTTACTACTTTCGTCATCCATATACATTTCGCTTTGACAGTGATATCATATGAAACTTTTGCTGAAAGAAAATTTTTTGTTAACGAAAAAGGGTCGAAAAAAATATTCCCCTGAATTTGACAGTTGTAGGAAATTAATGATACATTTCATTGCAGTTAAAAAATTCTGAGTCATCAACATATATCTTGGGTATTTCAAAGCACCATTCTTTTATTATTTGGTGTTTCTATAAAATATTTTGGAAACGTGATGTTGCATGGTTACTAAAACTTGTAAACAGGAAAAAAGGGATGGAAATTTGATTGGTTAACTTCCAGTGATGGTTATTATCTTATATGCAATGAAATGTTCTGTGAAATTTTGTCTGTAGTACTGGACAGGATAAAACTTAACTCATGCCAAGTATTTCTTTATTTGAAACAAATTTTTTGAAAAGTGCCAATTTACCAAAGACTAATAGGGGGGAGGAACAATGGTGGTATGACACCAACAAAACAAAGTAAAAAACAAAATCTGGGGGAATTGAGAGAATTCCAAAAGGATCGAGCGAAAAATGAATGGATTTATGATATTTGAACATCGGTCAATAGTCCAGCAGCTAGGCCCACTATATTGGCATAATTGATCACTTTATGGTAAAAGCATGAAACTTTTGCACAGTGTTAGTTACGATACTATAGATCTTTTTTGGATATGAAGCAACAAAAAAAAAAAAAAAAAAAAAATTCCAATATGGTCACTAAATTAAAAATGACCGGTATAAGTTACTGGAAATACACCATCATACACTTGATGATGTCTACCAATATGCAAGAGTTCAGTACATATTCAAATATGGTATCAAATTTTGTTTAACAAAATATTGTTTAAATCATTAATCTAATGATTACCATACTATAACACAGTTCTTAAAGCAGTCCAATGGACACCATAACTGGGTAATAGCTACTACCAGAAGTATTTTAGTTGTTCATTTTTGTGAATATTCACAGTTTCTAGTTTAAAATTAAAAAAAAAATTGAAAGGTAGGGGTGATTTTTCAATATTTGTAGTATTTATCTATAGTATTAAAACTACCAATATCTGTAGTTTGTACGAAAATTTAATATTTTTTTCTAATTGAAATCAATTGAAGTGTTTAAGTTAAATCAGATTGGTCTTCTGAGGTAAAAGAAGGTTAAATCTTGACAAATCTGGAAATCTGAAAATTTATTTCGTATTTTCCTCATGTTCCGACAACAAATCGTGCTTCCGCCAAATATTTCCACTACCTGCATCAAATAATCAATCGTGTATTATATATTTTGCGTTTGTTAACAATTAAAAGAACTTTTTTTTTAACATTTTTGTCAATTTTTCAAGGGGTAAGTGTATATATTTCAATTGTGAGAAGACTTGATAATATTTAGAAAGCTTATACACTGGGCTTGCTTTTGGTTTCATACTTGAATATATACCGAACTTTTGCATATCAGTAGACTTCATCAAGTAAATTGCAATGTATTTCCAATACCTTAAGTCGGCCATTTTTCATTTGGCAGACATATCAGATATTGTTCCGTGGCTCCATATCTGAAGTTTGTCTATGCCATTTAATCTTTTACGATACCGAGTTTCATGCTTTTACCATAAACTGATCAATTGTTCTGATATTCGTTGAACTAAGGTGTCTCTATGGTAGGATGTTAATAAAAAATAACACCACTATCATTAAAGGTACGCGTGGGACCGAAATGTATGACGCTTCATAGAAGACATAAAGCGTCTTATATAAAATTCGTCTTACATTATAGTACAATTACAAACTCGATTAAGAAATTTGAAACAGATAAAATATATTTAATAATAATTACATAGTAAGATGTACAATCTCTAATATAGAATATAAAATCATCTACAATAAGTAGTGTTAGGATTGTTTACAGTGTCGATAGAGCAAAATCATGTGTCCTTTCAGAATTCCATCATTCTCTCAATCACGCGCAGCTACATTCCTTGCGCGTCGGTTTGTTACAAATCTTATTTACGCAGACACTGCAAGCACATTTGCAGAAACATTTCTGTTGGCAGTATGGACACACCAAACGAGCTGAAAAATAGATTTGTCAACATTCAACCAAGTAAAGTCAAAACTGTATGATATATAGAAATATAAATGAAATTACACTTTATATATTCATCTTAGGTAAACCGAGCCTGAGTTAGATGGAGATTTAGTTTTTTATTAATTGAATATTTTATAAACGGAGAATTTAAAAAAAAGTGTTATAAATCATGTCAATGCAGATGCACTGATTACTGAGGTCTTACAGTTAATTAGCAGTAAAATCGCCCATGTGCTTGTAAACGGGATATTGTTTATATCATACTACATAAAAGAGAAATAAGATACCATGGGGGCCTTGTAATCAACATTTATTTTTAGTTGAATTAAGGCAACAGTGTTTTTATAGATGTTCACATTTCATACATCGATTAAGAAGACACATCGAGGTAAAAAAAACTGAGGGATCAACATCAACTCCCAAAAGGACGTGATTTAGTGCGTCGACATGATAAATGTCTCATGTTATGCATGCATTACTCGCAATTCGAATCCAGACAAAGTTAGTAATGATCTAAAAGGAAAAAAAATGCTATGTACACAGAGGAACAAGTGATCAGTATGCTGGAGTTTCTTATTGACAACATATTTGTTGAATTTGGAAGTAGACTTTTCGACAAGATATCGGCATTCCTATGGGAACAAACTGTGCGCCTCTCCTTGCCGGTCTCTTCTTATTTTCATATGAATCGGAGTTCCTTCAGACACTTGTCAAAAACAAGAAGATCAAAGAAGCCAGATCATTTGATTTCACATTGAGATATATTGATGATGTTCTTTCCATTAACAATCCAAAATTTTCGGATTGGGTTCCATTGATATATCCTCCAGAACTAGAAATTAAAGAAACAACGGACAAAATTGGACATAAACGGTCATCTCAGTACCAGAATCTATGACAAACGAGACAATTTTAATTTTGAATTTATCAATTTTCCCCACCTTAGTAGCAGTATACCAACTTCACCTGCATATGGGATGTTCATTTTCCAACTGCTACTCATACTTTATAAAACGTCACCAGTGTCTGATCAGAAGGTTGATGAATAAAGGCAACAGTAGTATACCGCTGTTCGAAACTCGTAAATCGATAGAGATAAAAACTAACCCGGGTTACAAACTAAAACTGAGGGAAACGCATCAAATATAAGAGGAGAACAACGACACAACAAAAACACAACATTAAAATGTAACACACACAGAAACGAACTATAATATAACAATGGCCATTTTCCTGACTTGGTATAGGACATTTTAAGAAACAAATGGTGGGTTGAACCTGGTTTTGTGGCATGCCAAACCTCCCGCTTTTATGGCAGCGTCAAACACAACACCAAAACGACAACATCACATGACAGGACCACAATACAAATAAATGGGAGAACATATAGGACAAAGAAACACACGAATAATAGCTAGCAGAAGGTACTAGGCTTAAAATTCAATACGCCAGACGTGCGTCTCGTCCACAAAAGACCAACCAGTGACGCTCAGATGAAAAAAGTTTGAAAGCCAAAACAAGTACAAAGCTGAAAAGCAACGAGGACCAAAACTTCCAAAAAGTTGCGCCTAACACGGCCAGGGTTTTCTGCCTGGGACAAGAACATCCTTATTATTTAGAATAATTTATAATTTTGCAAACAGTAAATTTTATAAAATGACTATATAATAGATATACATGATAAAACCTAAGTGGGAACTAACTACATAATAAAAACGGATACATTACATAAAACAACTTAATCCAACATATAAAAATACACAGCCGAGTTAGCCAAAGCCTCAACGCACAAAGTGTTTCACATTTGAAATTCTAAAAAAAAATGATGAACCAGGGTTATGTCACAGAATGTCTGGTCCTTTTTCTAAGAAAGATCATCGGAAGATACCAAGACCTTGTTGATAAATATTCTGTATCAACTGCACACATAATACATGATGGTCTTAAAGTATAGATTCTAGGTACTGACGTTGTTTATCATCTTAATTGCGTGTTATAGTGTTCTTTTTATTTGTCTATGTAAATTATAAACATTTACTGTTAAGTCCATTTTTGGTAATATCTTTTGGCGTGGCTCGGTATTTATACATCCCGACATTGTTATATTGTACTATGGCCATTTTTTGTAATCTTGACTTTCATTTTTGCTAATGTGCTTTGTCTTTATGTCATTTTGTTTTTCTTTGTTCACATATTTGTTTGTTTTATAATGATTCAGATTATAACACAATATTGACTACTGTACCCCTAATTTTGTTATTTTTACCTATTATGTCTGTTTGTTTTGTTCACACATCGTTGTCATTATAATGGAATATTATGCAACTGTCATACAAGTGAGAGGTTTAGCAAGCTATGAAACCAGGTTTAATCCACCATTTTCTACATAAGGAAATGCCTGTACCAAGTCAGGAATATGAGAGTTGTTTTCCATTCGTTTGATGTGTTTGAGCTTTTGATTTTGCCATTTGATAAGGGACTTTCCGCTTTGAATTTTCCTTGGAGTTCGGTATTTTTATTTTTTTTTACTTTTTCCGTATGTGTTAAAATGCACGAGCGTAACGCATTAACTGAGATATGTAAACGCTCTACGATTTTGGGCAGATGGTTTACCGCAGAGAAATGTGAAGTTGATGATTGAAAAGTTGAAATCATAACGTTTGTTAACGAATCTTGTTTGAAGTTTCCATCTCTGTCAACATCGAGGAAAAGATCACAATGTGAATCAGACCTTCTAGTTTCAGTAATATCCTTGTTCTCAAGTTCATTAGGATATATGAGATGCAAGGACTCATTGAAATGTGGGTTTGTCGGTGACAGGACATCATCAATATATCTGAAAGTGAAATTCAAGAAATTAACTACATGTTTTTCTTTTTGTCTTTGTGAAGGATTTGTATGAGTTTTGCTTCATATGAGCACAAAAACAAATCGGCCAGTAAGGGTGCACAATAAGTACCTATCGAAAAGCCACTGTCTGTTGAAATCTAAATCCACCAACCTCAACAAATATGTTGGGAATCAAAAATTCCTGCGTTTTGAAGATATGGTCCTTGGTGTATTTGGTTAACCAAATCATGATAGCGTCTTTGGCTATAGTTTCCTTGTGAGCAGTAAATTTCTATCAATAAAATCATGATACGAAACGCAGACCACAGAATATACTATTAACTGGGAGATAGATAATTCAAATGCAGGCACTGTTGGTTTGTTGTGGCATAGTTGGAAAAATTTTAAATGGGAAAATTGAAATCATCTCTTTTGTGGTAGAGTTAATTTATCCATTAATCTTCATCATCTATATCTTTAATGGTTATGTTTTACTACTTTTTGACTACTCTTGCTCTACAGTGGAAGAAACAACGACATTTAACTTGGTAAACTATATTAATTTCAGAAGCAGGCAGCGAGAATTTTTATGAAGGCTAATCAATGTGTTCAATCATCACATTCATCACGAACGTTCAGTTGGTTAACTGTTCATTGTAGAATAGAATATCACAAGGGTGTTATGATATAATAGTGCATTAATAATAATGCAACTCAGTATTTATGTAATATCTAGTACATGTGCTAATTTACAAAATTTATTTTGACATCGTTTAGTTCTGGAAACGTATTTGCTCCGAGACTAGTGTGGATTTATAATATTTAATTTATTGTTATTGTTGAGGGACCAAGGGAATATTATGTAAATGTGATAACCTCTTAAAGAATTAATTAATTACTTGCTTACCCACCAACCACTGATCACTGACTCATAGACACACAAGGACAAAAAACAACGAACAACATATGGTCTAGCCATAATAATTAAATAATGATATTAATATCTGAAATACGAATGAAAAATGAGAAAAATAGGTAAAAATGTCAAAAATTGGGGTACAGTAGTCAATATTGTGTTTTAATTTTAATCACAATAAAAACAAACAACTATGTCAACAAAGAAAAATAAAATGTCATATAGACACTCTTTAGACGAAGCACATAAGCAAAAATGAAAGACAAGAATATAAAAAAATGACCATAGCACAAAAACACAATGGCGGGATGTATAAATACTGAGCTTCGCCAAAAGGATGTTATCAAAAATAGACTAAACAGTAAAGGTTAAAATTATACAAAGACAAATAAAAAGAACACTATAACATGTTATTAAGATGATAAACAATGTCAGTTCCTAGAATCTATACTTCAAGACCATCATGTATTATTTGTGAAGTTGAAACGGAATATTTATCAACAAGGTCTTCGTATCTTCCGATGAATTGTTTTTAGAAAAAGGACGAAGACGTTCTTTGACACAACCCTGGTTCGTCAACTTTCTGCTTAGACACTGGTATCCAGAATCATAAACATATTATTTTTTGAATCATGAATAGCTCCTCTAACTCAACAACTCTCTTTAAACTGATTGAAATCATACTACTTACGGTTATGTCCTCCTAGTCCTCCTTTTTGGTTACCTCTTCCTAGTCCTCTTGATAGGCCTCTTCCTCGTCCTCCTGATGAGCCTCTTCTTAGTCCTCCTGATAGGCCTCTTCCTCGTCCTCCTGATGGGCCTCTCCTTAGTCCTCCTGATAGACCTCCTTCTATACCCCCTCTTAGTCCTCCTACTAACGAAGACGTTCTTTTTGACGTATCTGCAGGCAGCAATTCTCTTTGCTGTTGTCCCTTAGTTTTTGTCAGTAAGAAGCAAAATAGTATAAAAGTCAATTCGGTAAAACTCCAAACCATCATTGTAAAGTTTATCAGTTATGAAAATTTTTTACCTGTCCGAACGCGTCTTCTTTTTCTTAACTTGACTTTCCGCTATTAATCAAATTAAATACTAGTAAATGTAATTTATGCGGAAATAGACTAGCTATACGGATGTTAGAAACATTTCAAATTACCTGTTACAGATTTTTCGCTTTTACTTCTCTCTGCTTCCTTTAGGATATTTCAAATATATTGAGTGACACAAAAAATGCATCACCTCTTTGTAAACAATGTCACATTTATTTTCTGAATATAAAACAAGTAAGCATGTACGAAAATACTCGTTATTTTTATAGAAGCAAATGAAAATATGAAAATCAAAACTCAAGGGTTTAGCATTTGTCAAAATATGTGTTAGGTAGAAATGTGGCTAGCCAGCAGAAAAAAAAACCCAGAAAGCACCGCCTGCAGCATAATCTGCAAAAGGATAACTGATTATATGCCCCTATTAGACCACTTGATTTTCAAATTGAAAAAGTATCATACATCTACTTTATAACATCCTTTAAATGATCATAAGACATTGATCAGTATCTACATTTTTGAATATCGTCTAACATATAGGCAGTTTGGCTTTAAACGTTTTAGATCTAGTGCAAGACATAAAAAACTACCAAAATATCCTCCGCTTGAGACTTTAGATATGAGAAAGATTTTTGCTAAAAAAAATATTCAACAAAGATGTAATGTGTGTAAAATATCTTTTTTGGTAAAGCTGTTGCTCATATAAATTTCACCAAAATTTAGAGTGAAATGGTCATTTAAGGTCAAATACATAAATTTCAACATGCCAATGACGTCATAGTGACATCTCTATTGACCCCTCTGTTTTAAAGATTCCCGATTTAATCCATTAGTTCGTTTATCAATAGAATTACAAACATTTTCATTGACTTGAAAAAATTTACTTTTATTTTGCAATTCAAGGGGCCAAATAAAGGCAAGTCAACTGGAAAAAAGGCAACGTCATCATTATGCTTAATGTACCACAAAACAACTTCAAATGTGCAGGAAATACAAATAAAATCCGAATTAGGTCTTCATTGGATGTTTTACGTTCAAAAACCGTAATTCCACCATAAATCATCAAACCCGAATATAAAAAGCAAGATAAGATCTATAAATCAGTCGATTATCTCTTAACATGAGTTATCGCCCTTAAAAGAGAGAGGGAATATCCCAAAAAGATATAAGTCAAACGTCGATGACAAACTGACAGCGCACTGGAAAAAAACCGAAAAAAGAACATAAGACAAATAACAGTATACAAAACACAACATAGAAAACTAAAGACTAGGCAACACGAGCCCCACCAAGAATCGGGGGTTATATCAGGTGCTCTGTATCTTGTTACTCATATAAAATACAGGTAAAAATTATATCAAGTGGTTAGGCATTACGCAATAGCGGATTGGTAACTGACACTTATCTAACCTTAAGACATCACGAATTCATAAACCATCGATCATGTAAATTTTCTATCCCTGAAGCTTTCCCGAAAGTGAATTTTTAAAAACTGTAACACGTTTTTAAGACAAAGGATAGACAAGGCTGATAATGGTATAAACATAAGGGAAGTTTAAAAATAGAACAACACTAAAAAAAAGACAAGAAAAACACTAACCCTTTTTAAACAAAACTATGAGTGATGTCAGATGACCCGGGAGGGTTAGCAGATCCTGATCCACATGTGGCACTCGTCGTGTTTCTAATACTCGGTGATAAGTCTAATTCGGTGATGTCAAATTTCAGGAAAGATAACTGAATTGTGGTTAACAACTGAACATATCTGTCGTCATCTTTGAAACAGATATTTCATAGCGGTCACGGTCAACCAACTCATGATGGCGTCCGTAAAATATTAGAAAGAATGTCTTCAAGTTCACCACTTGGAATCATTGGTTTAATACCTTTCTTGAAGGTAGCAACCCTCTACCAAGTTAATCATGGTAGGAAATGCAAGCTATGGAAATCGTATCAACTGAGAGATTTATACTCAATATGAATGAAAGTTCATATTTGGGAGGCATAAATCATCTCTTTTTTCATAAAGATTTGTTCTCAACGGATCCTCATTGTCAAATTATAGATGTTAATCAAGATATGAGGCAGACATAACTTTTTGAAGATTAACGGGATAGATGCGTTCAACATAGTCACGAAAGTTATTTTCATTCTTCCTAAGAAGCTCTTTTATGACGTCTGCCTCATATGAATGAAGGAACAAGTCAGTAAGAAGAGGAACACAGTTAGTGCCCATGAGAATGCCGATGGATTTGTTGAAAAAAATGTCTTCACAACGTAAAAAGTACGTTATGGAAATTCAAGCATCTTGCAATACTTTAAAACTATAATGAATCGAAATATGAACTGCACAAATTATCAGCAAAACAAGATCAAGAAGAAAACCTACACCAAGCATATGGACTCGATAAATGATTTATTGCACTTATACGATGATTTTTTTTTAACTAAATTTAGAGTTTTGCTCTTCATCTCATAAACTGTAATAGATATTCAGAAACCGAACAAAAGAAGTTAGAAAATCAAGGAAAGAATGTATGCCCTTTAAAGAAGATTTTTCTAACTTTGATTTTTTTATTAGTTTTTTCAATTGATGTCAAAGCAAATTTAGATAATTTAAGGGGTATTGAATAATGCGACTGTTAGAACAGGGCCATTTTAATTTGAGAGGTCTTTTAAATGGCTTGACAACTTATTGACATACATACATCGATTCTGGTCTTTACTGAAATAAAAAATAAGATTCCGAATCTGACGAAACTTGATTAAATGACCTTAAATTCACTTGACTGAAAACTGTATATTTGAAAATGAATAATTCTTCCTCTGCAAGGTTGTCGGCTCTCCGAATTTTCCCGAAGAATTCAATTGCATAGATGCTAGGTTTGATAGCCAGTGGACTATTATACAAAATTCCCGTTTCATGATAGCAAAGTGTACCAGATATTTAAAAAGGGGGAGGGGCATTTCAAACACGAGTCTTTATTCTATCATACTTTATTATAGCTGCGGTACCATAAATAACTTTATTCGTTGACAAAGAATAGAGTTTGCTGGATATTCAAAATTGTACCCCCTCAACCCCCCCCCCCCCCCCCCCCCCCCCAAAAAAAAAATTAAAATAAAACAACACTGCATTAGGAAACAATTGAGAAGCATTATATTATAAAATTATAAAACAGCTACGTATACTGGTCGGTTTTTAAATATAATCAGAGAAGAAATCAAAGGTTGCCTATGAAATTATGGTGTCAATATTCATTTGTATGTCACAGTTTAAATTTTCTACTTCACAAGTTTTGAAACCTAATGTTAAAAGTGTATTTTTCTCTATGTCTAAACAAAAAACACAATGTACAAAATGTAGTAGACTTCAATTGTGCAATAAGTGATGTACACAATATGATATCATTTCAATTTAAGAGCAATGTGCCAGCAATTAAACCTCAATATAAATCTTATAGAAGTTTCAAAAACTTTGATCATGAGCACTTTTTGAGAGATCTTGAACATAGTAAATTTAGTGAGAAAATTGATGAGAACAATGATGTCAATAATGCATATGAAGACTTTGAATCTGATCTTCTAAATATATATTGTAAATAAACACATACCATTGAAAGAGCGAAAAAAATGTACAAAATCCTGCTCCATTCATGAATCCAGAACTTAGACAAGCTATATTTAAGAAAAAGATGTTGTACAATAAATATAATAAGGTAAAATCTAAGAAAAACTGGGAAAAATACAGAGCCCAGAAAAATTTTGTAAACAACAAAGTGTCAATCAGTTAGAAATTATTTTACAGAGCGTTGTGTAGGTGGACCAAAAAACAAAGACTTTTGGCCCACCATCAAACCTTTCTTAACAAACAAAGGTAGTTATTTTGAGAACAACATTATTTTATGTGACAACGATAACATTATAATTGATCAGTCAAAGTTTGCTAATATGTTAAATGATTTTTTTGCAATTGTAGCAAAAGATATTGGATCAGACTGTGCTGTAGATCAGAACCACCCTAGTGTAAAAGCTATTAACAATAATTGTAGAATTGAAGGTAATTTAATTTTTAACTGTATAGAAGAGAAATTTGTAGATAAACAAATAAACAAACTTGGTGTAAATAAAGCTACAGGTAAAGATAGGTTATCCGTTAAAATGCTGAAATTGGCAAAACCAGCAGTTTTGACACCAATTACAAAATTAATCAACAAATCTATTGAGTACTCTGTATTTTTAGACAAACTAAAAGAGGCTCAAGTGGTGCCACTTCATAAGAAGAATGGTCAACTTGAAGTTGGTAACTATAGGCCAGTCAGTATTTTACCTGTTGTGTCAAAGTTTTTCGAGAGAGCCATCTTCCAACAGCAAGTTGATGTTTTTCAAAATATTTTTCACCCATATTTATCTGCTTTTAGAGCAGGATACGGCTGCCAGACAGCTCTTTTGAAAATCATTGAGGATTGGAAGAAGGCTATTGATGATAATCAATATGTTGCTGCTGTGTTGATGGACCTCTCGAAAGCCTTTGACTGCCTTCCTCATAATTTATTGATGTTAAAACTGAAGGCATATGGATTATCTGAATCAGCTTTAAGCTTGTTAGACAGCTATTTAAGTAAAAGAAAACAATGTGTAAAAGTCTGAGGAAATGGTCAACATTTTTTTCTTGATTTCTTCCATTAAAAGTACAGTTTACCTTCATGTATTATCATTTTAACTGTATATAAAGTGATTGAATTTGATACCGAACAAACAAAATGATGCAAAAAGGCAATTTTGGACCATAAAATATAGTCATCAATAAAACTGATTATTTCTGTACTGAGCTATATATATAGGTAGGGTCAAACAGTCCTAGATTTATACTTGAATGTCAGTTTGATTGTAATGTGCAATTTTATATGAGACTGTCAATCAGAAATCAGCTAATTTTGATATTTTTTGTCAATATAGTCAATATTTAGAGATGTGTTCCATTTTATAAATATGAAAATAAGCTTTTTTTTGCAAGACTTGCTGATCTGACTCTTTCATTCATAGTATATTCATTTTTGGCAAAAAATTGGCA